CGCTGCTTTCACATCCCGCGGGGCCGCCGCGGAGCCGGGAACACGCAGGGGCGAACGTCGCGCGGCGTCGCCAGGAATCCGTAGCCGGTTCATCGCCGAAAGCAGAGCATTAGCTGGAAAATTCAGTTTCTGGCTAACATAAGCTCCTTCCTGCTATGTATTTTGATTTCCCCACAGCGAAGTGTTAGGAAATGGTGAGTGTTTCCTCCTCGTCCTTTCGGGATCGAGGCTCAGCCTCCGGGCTCGGAGAGGCTGCGGCGTCGCCCGAGAGCGTCGCCCACACCTGGAGCCAGGTGATGGTCACCGTTTCCCCCGTGGTTTTGAGCGCACCCAACACTTAGTGAGCGGCTCTTCTCGTTTTGGTACGTTTCGATTGAAATGAGAGGCCTGACTTTTCCAAATCTTAAGGAGCCGCCTGTGTTGGGATGCTCAAGCCTCGCGCTGAGCTGGTTTTCTGCGCTGCTCTTTACGGAAAAGCTGCAGTTTGACCCATTTTGGGGAAAGTTGTAGCAGGCACAGCCTTTGCGCTCACTTCTGGCCGCGTTTTTTCTCACGAGGGCTGTTGTGTGGCTGCTGGGAGAGGGGAAGGTGATGCAGCAGCCGTGCAATGCACCTAATAAGCTTTTGCTTCCTGGTGCATTAATGCCTACACCATTTAACGCCAGCACTATGTAAATACGGATGCCATTATACGCGTTTCACCTTTATTAGCAGGGCTCCTCGTCGGTTAATGGCAACTTGGAAATCTCTTAAGTGAGCAAGGTTTATATTTAATTTGATTTGGCTAATTCTCTTATTTTTTCAAAGTATTAAAATGCAGGCTCAGTTTTTTTAATCCTTCATTTGAGTGCAGTGCGTTGGCTCTGTTATTTGCTCTGTGCAGCCACAGGTTCAGTTGTGATGTGTAAGGTTCATGTGTTTTGCCTTTTCCTTGGAGGGAGAGCTGCATTTTAAGCTGTGAAGGGATCAAATGGCTGCCCTGACATCCTCTGCTGCAGTAT